AGAAGGTTACTTTATTGGGAAGTTAGTACTAGCTGACACAAAACTTTAATTCTGACATAAAATTGATTTTTTTTTTTTAGGAAAAAAAATTCAATTTGTGATTCCAAAAAAAAAACCACAACATTAATTCTCAGTCACCTGAGAAAGTATGGAAGAACTCATACCTGATATTAATTTGTTAATCAAATCTAAAATTGTAAATAATACTAATGAAATTACACGATTACTCAAGAAAATTGACCAAAAGTTTTGGCAGAACCTTGTTAATCAAGAAAATGTGATTACTTTACAAATGGCTGATCGCTGCTTGTCCATTTTTAAGATATTTAAGGCTGCTAACAAGATAGCAAATAAAGATTTAGTAACGATTCAGAAATTTATAGCATTAAAAGATTTTTTATTAAAAAAAATATTGCGATCTAATAATGATCCAACAGATTTTTTCTTTCATGTTGATGATTTTTACAAGTCACTTAAAAATATTCAATGTAATCAAGGCAAGAGCATCATATTTCAAGCCCAAGAGGCAACGAATAATTTTGAAAAGATTATTATAATTAAGGATGGATAACAGATCATTGCATGAACTACTTTATGATATTATACAACTCGCAATTGACACCTTTCGTGACGATACAATTAACATGCAAAAAATTGCATCTAATCTTAAATTTTTTTTCATACATAAAAATAAAACAGAAAATCAAAAAAAAAATTACATAATTATACGTAAATCAAAAAAAAAATATAATTATACATATAATTATACGTAAATCAAAAAAAATCAAAAAAAAATTACATAATTATACGTAAATCAAAAAAAAATATATTAAGAAACCTAACCTAAGCCACTTCAAGTAAAAAAAAACTAGATCTAGTGCAAGGTTGTATCATCCATATAAAAAATCATTTCTGATTTTTAAAGTAATCAGCCAAACTTTCATACTTTGGAGACGCAGATTTTTGTGATGGAGGGAGAGATGCGGAATTTTGTTGTAGTGGGAGAATCACGGATTTTGGGGATTGGGGAGATGCGGAATTTTTTGGTGATGGGAGGAGAGTTGCGGATTGTTGTGGTTGTGAAAAATATAATTTCAAATTCAAATCATAAATTTCTTTCTGATAACCTTTTATTTGGTCATCATATAATTTCAGCCAGTTTACTAAATTATCATTTTCACGGGAGCACTTTTTTACTTCTTGAAAAACTTTTCCTCCCACATTTTCTACCTTTTTTTCAAAATCAATAAATTGAGTCTGTAGATCTTCAATCTCCTTGTCCTTTTTTTCATCAACGAAGCTATATAGAATTAGAATGATAATTATCATCAATAAAATGAGCTATGTTTTATTTTTTCTATGTGAATAACTTTTACATGAATTTTAAACAATATATATCTATCTTTATTTACTTACTAAATCGAACTTTTCTATTTTTTTTCGAATTTGTGTTGTTTCACGTGACTTTTTTGATGGGATTCCCATGATGGATGGATATTGAAAGGAGAAGAAAGGACGTATTCTTTCTTTTTGATTTTTTTTTTGATTTATATCATATAAATACGCTGTTTATATATAAAAGGAAATTAAACAAATGTATTATTTCCTATTAATTGAATCATCTGGCGAAGTAACATATAGTTTTGAAAATAAGCACTCAAATTATCATTTTCAGGGATGCTTATTACATGATATTTTAAATTATTCCATAATCACCTACATTTTCATCTTTGTATAGTGAATTTTATAGACTAATGCGACATTATCAATTTTCCGATATGATGTGCGTATAATTAATTATATGCGAATTTCATCAATATGCATATCTAAAGTTAATACATGATTCTAGATTTTATTTTTTAAAATGTATTAAAAAACAATGGAAATTCATCAAA